TTGAAAAGTATTCATCAGAACTAGGCAGTGCATATGACCAGTGACTTCATCAAAGCCTTAGCTATTTTTGAGCATAAATAATCCTTATCCCTTAAGACTTTTGCAATTAGAATAACTGTAACAGAAACGTGCCACTGAAATATGGCAGTGTAACGAACCTCGCAGAGAAATGTGCTGAAGCATTTTCATGACCTGTGCTCCCATCAGTCACTTCCATTTACAGTGTATACAGTCTGGAGTCCTCCCAGTGCAGGTGGCTAGATAAGCATGCCTTCTCAGAAAATGGATTTAGGAGGGAGTAAAAGTGGTGTTCATTTCTTGTATAGCAGTCAAGAGAAAGGGCAGCGGCCATCCCCTTAGATATCACTTTGCTGGAATAGAAAAGACACGGAGTCAGAAGGAAAGCAAGTGAAGGGAGTGTCACTACCTCAGAAGTTAGTCTACTTAGTGGGAGGGGAGGAAAACAGGGCAGGTTTTGATATCCAGTAACTCCTCTGGGAAAATTTCCCCAGTGAAACTCTTTTAAGTTTCACTGTTTCAAAAATGTAGTAACTGAAGTTTCCCATCTTGTAACCAATGATGCAATAGTTTCAGTGGAACAGGTCACATGCTGGAGTTGTATAGCATGAGCATTGCAAGACAGTTTTATACTTATATTATTGTTTATTTATATTATATTATTATCTGCAAGGCAGAAGTGAGAAAATCATTTAGGGATTTTGTGCTATGGCTTTTACTTTCAAAGCATTGAATGAGAAGGGCACTTGTTAATGATGAAATGTCGATATGTACATTCAGTTAACAACCTGGTAAGGTGATGCATGAAACCTTTCTCCTTGTTTATTCTTATTAATGCATAAACCCCTCAAGATGCACTGGGCCTGAGGAAGAAGGCAGAGTCTGCTCTGAGGGATTTGCAGTGCTGACACCTCTTCCTTTAATAGTTCATATTTGTTCATCAAACGGGGAAACAATATCTCCCTGTATCAGAGATATTATCTGCATTAGTCATCAGTACATGCAGAAAGTGTTGGTACAGTCAGGCCATCAGTAGAGGATCTTTACTGGAGATTTTGGGGAGAGTTAGTTTCTTTACATTGGCTCTGTGAGGCGAGTGTTAACTTCCTCTGAATTCAAATTTCGCAGTGATAATCTGATCTCTAATAATATGTTGATCTCAGCCTCATTTTGATTTGTGTTTTGGTTTTCTCTGCTGTACGTCAGCCCAATGATGACAGCACTCACAAACTGTAGAATACAACCCAAAGAATTGTTGGTTATTTCTGCAGGAAAGGTCTGGACAGCAAAACATCTTCCTGTGCAGAGAGCCACCAGCTCTCTCTGAATGGCTTTTGCTGCAGGTCCAGTGTCCTGGATGGCTCTTGCTCTGCCCAGCTGAATAAGGCTGCTCCTGGTCAGCTGAGAGATTTAGCCGGTACTGTCCCAGTCCTGGGTCAGTGCTCCTGTGGTATCTCTGTACAGCCTGCACTGTGCTGTGCAGACATACTCTGGTGATCAACTGTCAGTGCTGATGCTGATTTAGGGACAAGGGATCAACTCTTGCATATTAAGCCCAGAGGCTCACTTCTACATTTGTGGCTCTGACTGACTTGCATGAACCTGACTGAGTTACTCATGCTCTGCCCGGAGAAACTGGTCTGATTCTATCGAGGTTGAAATGTCCTTTCTTCTTTTTAAATTGATATTGTTTGCCATGTTTTCAGGTTTGGTCACTCTTGCAGCAGGTAATTTATGCAGTTCAGAGCGATGTATTTTTTATTTTTGCTGAATCAAAATTTCTTAAGAAAACCTTTCATTTGAAGTCGAATGAAAAATTCTGTCTAAGATATTTTTCCTTTGTTTCTATAGGCTTTTCTTTTTTATTATAATTTAACTATGTCCCATTACAGTATAATTTATTTTTAGAAATGTTTCTTTTGGTAAAGTTTTGCCCCCCTAAAAATAATTCACTGAAATGGGATTGTTTTTCTTCATTGCTGTAATTTCATAATACTATAGGCAAGTCACTTCCATCGCTTGTTCCTCCTTATGCCAAACAAGGGTAATATCCCACAGCTGAAGAATATGATGAGCTTTAATTTATTGATAGCTGTAGCATGTTTCAGAAATGTGTCATATTCCCAGGAATATTCTCAATTGCACAGATCTGCGGGGGAATATTCAGAGTTAACACTAAAAGACACTAAAGAAGAGCATAATTTTGTGTTGACAAAAAAGGCTAAGTGCGTGGCACTGCCTGCCAATGCTTTAATTTCACAAATCCTTGTCTGGAGACCTTTCTGGTTCTAAATTTCTGAAGGATGACTAGGATTTTAGCTGACTGACTTCTATTTGACTTTAAAGGGAGATGTGCTTTTTAAAACTGTGCAATATTTTGAAAAGTTCCTCCTAATGTCCAGACTAGCATTATATTAAATCTGTCCTTGGCAATGGCAAATGACGTTATTAATATTCAGTTGTTGCAAGATGGATTCAAACAAGGGGAGGGTGGGGGGAGTTCTATGGCATGGCTCTTGGTTGTTAAGAAAGTAATAAACCCTCCTTGTCTCTGATTTTATAACGGACAATAACCATTAACTGATCAACAGAAGGAATGTCAGGTGTGGAATCAATGCTGATAGAAAAATATTTCATCTGTTTACATTTATGAAGGATCACTGATAAAACCTTTGATCCCATTAAGGATATAAACTCTTCACATATAGTCGATGACAAGTCTGATGAGCTAGCTGAGCTCCACCAGCCTCACTGTGCTTAGTGAATGTTCAGCTAAAAAGGGATCAAATTGACTCATGAATTTCAAGATTCCTAGGAAATTACCATTGTGAGGTGACCCAGTTTTTTGATTAGTGTCATGAAAAGACAGGTCTCACTGAGAAATAAACGTAATAATGTCAACCATGTGCTTAAGTTCTTCTCTCCGTTATACACATTCGCTTTCAAATTGTTTTGTCATTTTAGCATAAACTGTATCACTTGCTTTCATCTGAGAAACACAAGCTTAGCATAGTTCTGTGCAGAAATCAAAGATGAGCATGGAAAAAAGGCCCCTCTTTGCCTATTGAATCATTGATCAGACAAGCACAGGAGATATTTGCATGGATCCTTAGTAGTTAGGTCTCAGTAGCTGCCTTAGATAATTGTTGGAAGGGAAAGAAGTAAAGAGCATCAAACTTAGATACTTCATCCATCTGTTTTTCCCAATAATGGCAGGCCTTCTTACAGGTTGCCCTCTCACATCTATCCTTCTTCAAGCATAAAGGAGTAACCTGATAATGATACTGTTACTGTTAAGCCCTTTGAAGCACTGACTTTAAATCAGGAACAAGAAGTCATGAAATGGACTGCCTTTCCTTGTTAACAGATGCTGACGTGGAATTATCTGACTGGGCCAGGAGGATATTGAGGAGCAGAGGGAGAAGGAAAGCAAAGGTTCAGAAGTGCCATCAAAACTGAATTGCGGTAAGGCTGATTTCACACTGTATTATTCTCTCCTCAAAAAGCCATTTGAAAACACATGTGCAGATACTGTGAACTGTAAAAGTTTTAGAAAGTTTTCCCAGGGATCAGGCTACGATCAGTCACTGTCTGTTAGTTGGAACTATAGTGTTCCCACTTTCCTATGTCGTTGAGGGCTCATCAGTCCCACTGAGTTTTTAGGATGCGTCCATCCCTATTTCTATTTCTTATCCTATATCCTGACATTTTTGCTCATCTCTTTCAGTGTTTCCAGCTCATTCTGTTCTCTTTTCTCTGCTCCTATTTTCCTGTACAGGTGCATGGAACTTTCTGTGCAGCAGAGGCCCACATCACAACCAAAGCATGTGAGGATAACTGCCTCTACAAGGAGAACATGAGCTCTTTTTCCTCCTCACTGATCATCCTTTGTGCTCCCCTCAGGACTCATGACAGTTCAGTGGAGAAGAGCTCGTGAGTATGGCCAGCAAAGCAAAGGAGAAAGAGCTAGGTGAGAAAGTCATCCTTGGCTTATGGGCTTATGATCATCACAAATAGCTTTAGTACAAAAGCAGAAGGAACACAGTTTTCTGTTAAGAAGTCTAGATGGTCAGATGAGTTTAAAAAAGAGGAAGGAAATCTCTCTAGGTTGAGTAAGTGAAAACAAAGGGGGAACATAGTAATGTACAATCACAGCTCTTCCTCAGTGTGGCAGCAGCATCTATTAAAAAATGCAGGACACTTAAAACTGTCGAGAAACTCTGAAACCCAGGTTGAGCTGCAAACCTGGGCCGTATCAAAGAGTTGAGGGCTTCAGTCAGTTGAGATAAAGTTTCCTACTAAGTGCTGAAGTACCAGGGGCTGTGGACTCTGGTTTCTTTCCCTTCTTTCTTTCCTCTGCTTTTTCTGCAGTGCTTCCCAGCTATGTTAAAAACTTATGCTTGGTTCTCTCGGGTGCCGTTGACTTTGATCGGTGTTATAAGCCACCTGGTGATGGGCTGCAGTAGAAAAAGCAGTTGCCACTGGAGGTGAATACAAGGTGAGCTAAAAACTGAACAAAAATATGGCATTGTTCTTTTTAAACTGCAAATTCAAGTCAAAGGTGTGAACACCATAACCTTCAAATAATAAATGTGCAGACAAATCTTTCAGATGCACTCTGAGAGCTATTTTGGAAGACATAACTACAAGCCTCTTGAGTTAGATGTAGTGATTGCATAGATGTAGGCTACCCCAGCAAAATGTCTTTTCATAACCAAGGCAGAGGATTTTGTTAAGAGAGCATTCATTAAGTTATCTTTTCACTGCCTCTGTTAGTTAATTTTGCTTTTTGGGGCTCTCCTAATGTCTCAGCTCAAAGGAGAGTACATCAAGAAGAATGTTCAGTTCTTCCTATGGAATGTACTTTTGGTGGACATTTTCTCTCTTTATTTGAACAGAAATTAAGAAGCTCATTTCTGTCTGGTGTAAGTTGGGTGGCAGAGGTTGAGCTGGGAGGGAAGGAACTCCAAAGGAAACAATACCCTCTTCATAATAACCATTAGCCAAAGAGGCTCAGCTGTTACAGGTACAAAGAATCTCAGATGGTTAAACTGCCTACATTTCTCTCTGAAGTTAACAGTAGAATAGCCAAGTAGAATTCATTCCCCAGATGTTACAAGTGCTCTGAAATATGTTTGAAACTATCTAAATACTTTACACTTCTTATAAATTCATATCTTGATCCCAGAAGAGGATCCAGTGTGCTCACCATGGACTAATAAACATTTAGAAAAGTTAAATTACTTAGAGATATTTAAGTATCACACAAATATGTGTAAAGTGTAGACACTCTCCAGCATAAAACCAAACCTGCAAAGATCTTTGTCTATTTAATTGCATTTTGGTTCACCCATTTAATAAAGAGGATTATTTTTTAACCTCTCCAGTTCCAAACAGAATTTCAGATTCTATTACAACAGAGTGGAAGAAGAGAAATCTTAAACCAAGGGCATTTAGTCACCTGCAGAGTGAGAGAGATTGAAAAGGAAAATGGATTTACTGCCTTCCACATCAGTTTGCAGGCAATTTGTGTTTGAATTCCTCTTAAGACAATTTCTGCATAATATTAGTGATTTGAAATGATGCAAAATGGTATTGGAACACAGCCTCCTTTTGCAGCGCAGAGAAATTCTCTCCTTGAGTCCTTGTTATTCTTCTAGTCATCTGTTTTCCTTTCATTTATTCTTTCATGATGTGCCGTGCCTTCTGACGAGTGAAACGTGAACAGGAAGTGGGAAGGAGCAAGCTTTGTCTCTGCTGCCAGTGTGCTTCATGCATTTGTGAAGAAGCAGACCTGCATCATAAAACCAACCGAAAGCCACAGAGTTACCTCTCTAAAAAATGTAATGGACTGTACTGAAAGCCTAACTTTGACTGATGTGAGGTTTGGGACTTTATCCAGGTAAGAATTCATGCAGCAATGAGCACAGATAAGGCAGATGACCCAGAGTAGGGCCAAACTGTTTACCAGCAGATGTGTTTTTGAAAATCTTCCTTAACTGGTCATGGCAGCGGAAAATACCCTGCTGTTAAACGCATCTGCAATCCACTGCGCTCCCAATCCACCTACAAAAATTCTGACCTTTAAAGAAATGATGGAGAAGCTGGTGATTTTTTCCATGGCATTGAAGCTCAGTCTATTTTAGGCTCCAAGGCAATTGCAGCCCTTTTTGCTCCCTATTTCACATCACTTTTAAGTCTTGTTCTGGCCACTATGAACCCTTCAGCACTTCTCCCTGTGCAATCACTCGAGTCAAGATCTGTGATTTGTGATTTGCAGATGACATGTACATTTCTTGGCTGATGGCTGTTAAAGCAGTTTGCAAACCTAAGGCAATGAAGTGCAGGGATGCAGTTGAAGCTTTCTATTGCCACACTAAATTTCCATTCTCATGCAAATGAATAACAAGTTTCTTTAAGATTGAAAATGAAATGTTGAAATTTTCTGCATTAATATTTTAAGCAAATAATTTTGTCCATTACCATTATATACCTTCAGTAGAATATCGTATTTAACTAGTCTGTGTATCAAAAACAGTGATGCAACTTATTATATAGAAAAAGAAAAAACAAGCAGTTTCTGCATTCATCAAATCTAAGTCCTTTAATCCCCTCAGTGTGGAAATCAATTTATTACTGAGTTGTAGAACACAGTAACAGTTTGTAAAGTGTTAACACAATTATTTATACATTTCTGATCATCTTTCATTTAAATATTTATAAAATACATACTGGGAAGTTTGTACCTTTTAGAAAACTCAGTTTCTGTGTCATTTTCTTAAAATATTCACTTCTCCTAAAAGATATCTAAAAAGAAAACCTGCTGGATTTTGTTTTAAGTGACACTATAAATGTACAAACAAAATGTAATCTTAAACAGAAAATAATATGATTACCATCAGAAGGATTTCTGTGGTTTGTTGTTCAGAGAGCAGGAAACACAATATCATTGTTTCAAACACTCAGGCTTGGCTTGCAAAAAACCAAATGTATTGAAGTGCCTCAGTCTTAATGTGCATCCTAAAGTCTACATATTGTATAAATTCCTAATCCTGTCAAAATGTAAGTCTGAAGATTAGCAGAATGTATAATAAATGATTTCATGTCATTACACATAAAAATAGTATTGCTAAATCAAGTGTGGCCCTTGTAAATGTAAAAAAGCCCAACTTAAGCAGATTTGTGCTTTATAATTCTACAGCTCTGAGGAGAAAAAAGCAAGGTCTACTAAAACAGATTCCCCATTTCTCTGGTATAAATCAGTTTGTCTTCACACACATGCAAAAAGACACTGGCATAGATTTCTTTAGCAAATAACTTAATATTTATTGAGATTTCTTGTACATTTAATTATTAATGTCAGCAGTGTTACAGTATTTCTATGAGGTTGCTATTACTGACCCTGTACCTGTTGGGTTTTTTCCCCCCTCATATTATTTCCTCCACAAGCACAAAGGCATAACATTTACCAATTATTTTGTGTGACAGAGTCAAAAAGACTTATGGTCACTAGGTCTCTTATTTGTCAGCATTTCAGGCCTTGACTGACTGTTGTCCTACAAAATATCGCTTAGTTTAGTCGTGTTATAGTTAGTTCATTTGGTACATTAATGATAAATATTTTCGGAACTACCTTTTCCCAGTGTATTAAAATGAGTCTTGTAGAAATGTTCAGTGAAGCCAGAAGAAAATGTAAACCACGTGTACAGTTCTTTGTTCAGCAGTAGATATAACCTAGACACAGTAGTGCTACTGTTACAAGGTGTGGTGATTTGGACTGTTAAGGTAGAATATTACAGGCACCTATACAAAAGATCTTTTATTATATTTATCCTTTCCCCTAATGAGATAAAATACCTAGAATAACAGAAAAAGGTCAAATTACAAACTTGTTCTGTTATATATATATATTATAAATATGAGGAATGTTAGAAATAATGCATGAACACATTCCTCTTACTGAGTTGTGACACTTTTGCATGATTTAAAATGGAAAATAAGTCAATAATCATCATGTTGGTGGAAAAATTGTTTTTAGATGGTCTTTTTCCTCCTGCACCTTTTAAAAACCAGCCAACCAGAGAACTCAGAGTGACTGAAGTCAGTAGACAGCTGCAAGATGCAACACAATTGAGCTCAGTAGTAAAACTCTCACCGACTTCAATAGAGGCAAATTTCTCCCCAACATTTTCAAAGGTGCCTGGAGGGTGTGCATCACCAACTTAAGGAATTTTAAGGAGGTTTGATTGAAAATCATATTTTTCAGATATTTCTTACCCGGAGTCTGAGATGTAAAAATAGCTCTTATAACGAGCACTAAAATAGGGCATCTCCTGTTCCTTAATGACGAAAATAGCTCTGATCCACCTTTTGTGATCAACTGGTGTGTTGTACCAGTTTTGCACATACCTAAGTGTACTGATCCAGATTCTGAGGGTCTGATATGCACAGCAACCCTCCAGTCATCAAGGACAGCAGGAGTTCTGCTAGAGTCAAACCCTCAGGACTAGACATAGAATCTACTCATAGGCTCATTATTTCTTTCACTTGAAGAACTAAAAATGACCAAAAGAACTAACTATAATTTATAGAAGGAAATTAAATGTCCTAGTAATCTAAGTCTTCAATTAAATCAGGAGCATATCTAGCATTGACTGTCTGGGACAGAGACTATTAACACATTTATTGGGCAAGCCTGTCTCCGAGTCTGACACATGTAGGCACTGGGAGAGGGAGTACTGAAGGCTGAGTTTAAAACCACAACACTGTAATCTGTCATTATTTTCTCTCTTTTTAAATTCACTAGTAGACTCAAGAGTCAGGTCTCTCCCTTTGTGCATGCCAAGGAGCTTCTTCCTAATGCCGGTTTTTGGGGAAGGAACACATCTGCTTCTCATCTGCTGTCTGGGAACAAAAGCACCAACCAGCCCAATACCCTCCCTCGCACACACCTCTCCAAAGATCCCCAGACCCTCCATGCACAGAACAGCACGACTCCAGCAATTCAGAGGGCAGAAGAAGTTGAATCCCTAACTTGTCGAAATCCATTTTCAGCCCTTCTTCCACACTGCTGGCAGTGGGTGTTATACACTATTTCCAACAGTGCAAAGGGAGGCAAAGAGTAGGGTATAGGACTGGTATGGTTGGTACAGGTAACACAATACCACTGTATAATTTGTTATCCCAGGAATTTGTTATCCCAGGAATTCCTTGTGTTTCAAATTGTGGTGTGGCTGTGGGAGCTGTGTGGTGCTCATGAACAGGTGTTCAGCAAGAAAGAAAAACACGTGTGTATCAACCTATACTCCTGGTCAGCTTCAGGCAGTTGATTCTTTTTGTACCTCCAGTGAACAAGCTGTCAGGGAGCTTAAATGAGCTTGTGAGAGGGATCCAGATTTTAAAGTAAATATGTCACCTATGCTTTATCAGGGAAATAGGCAGGAGAATCCCCAGTGCCCCAGTTTCTGTTCCTTTAAGAACGCCAACCTCTTTGGAAAAGGATCCAATGGCATGCTGAGGTCTATACTAAATGAGGGCACAAATTTTTCCCCCCTACTGTTTATTTGGAAAATGGCAGCCAAATCAAAATCTTGTATGGGAAAGAAAGAATGTGAATAGTATTCAACTTGGGTAAGGGTAATAATCAAAAATTTTTGTTCCAATATTCTCAAAACTAAAAATTCCAGCGTTGGAAAGCATTTTCTAAAAAAAATTTTCAAATACAGGCTTAAAAGAACCTAAACTTTAAAAAACCCAAAACAACTGAAAAAAAAAAAGAAAAGGCAAGAACCATTTCAGAAATAACTGTTCTAGATACTCTAAACAGAAGATTTCTTGATCTGGGTAAATCTCTTTGTTTATTCGTTCAAGGTTTTGGTTTTGGTGTTTGTTTTTTTTTTTTTTTTTCCACAATAGAAACCAGACAATGTCTAAATACCACTGACTGTTCCAAACAAGTCCTCTCATGCCCCTTAACAGTAGGACCAGTGCCCTTGACCCTATACTTACCAGCATAAGATTTAGGACTTTAACATAAGAGTACATTTATATAATAGGCAAAGAAAACAAATCATTAAAAAGTGACAAATACTTTGGCTTTATGCAGTCCAAGTGTCTTCATTAATGACCACTGAAGCCAACAAAGATAATCCCTCTGCAGGTGAATTTTGGATATGACTGTATATTTTTCCTTTGTTATAGGAAATGCTGCCATGTCAGTAGTACCTCTGATGAGCAGAGTATAACAAGCAACAGATTCCCTGGGAAAACACTTCCTATCTGTTAGAAAAAGATGACAGTTTTCAAATAGATGATACATGATTTAGGTTTGTTGGTGAGTTATGTTCACTGGGTTTCACATTAAATCTATCACTGAATACACATTTATCATGGTAACAGGAGAGCATCACTTAATAGAGCTGCTAATATTCCCTCTCAGGATATATCAAGTAAACATCATTTTAAAAAAAAATATCTGCAGTGCATCTTTAACTGTGTTGTATTCATTACAATATTCATTAAATAAGGAAATGCATAGCAATCAGAGAAAGCATGATGGATAAGGAAAGAACTGTAGCACTGAACAGTGATCTAGGGAATAGCTCTGATATGGTGATTGTTTTCTTCCAGCGTGCTCTTTAGTGTTGCCTTTTACCCCAGAAAAGCTTTCAGATCACAGCTGCTTCTATATTGATGAGTATGGGGAACAGAACAAACTCTAGCTGTGAATGTTCGATCAATCTTCATATAGGTAAAATTGTCACTCTCCAGCTGATTTATGTAATGATTTTAGTTTGTGCCAGGAAAGCCGTAACAGAAATCCACTCCTGTGCAATTAATTGTTTAAATCAAATACACATGCTTGCTGCACAGGATGCTTATGCCTAAATGTAGGAGACAAGACTATACTTCTTGAATAAATGATGCAGAAACTGGTTGAAGTTTACTTTCTGCTATCCAGGGGCTGTAGTTGCTTCTTGCCTTCTTCAAATGTAGTCTATTTAATCTCCTGGAGTGTAGGAAATTATGTTCAAAATCTCTGTGATCCTCTATCCATAGTAAGTTATGCAAGTAGTGACAAGTATACACCATAAATCTTGAGATTTTGTCTGTAATGTGTGGCTGCAGACTGTTGATCAAGAGAGCCTGAAAGAAAAACATTATTTTCAGGTGTGAAAAACCATCACCTTTATCAAATAATTTCTCTTGCATCTCTCCCAAGGCATTGTACCCTATTTAAACTTGGGAGGTTAAGTTTGTAGCATTTATTATGACTGAAAATTTAGTTCACACAATCATGATATTCACCTTATTAAGTGTTACTGTTGAACAATATTAAAATAAGGACAATGTGATTGGCCTTTTGAAAGGTTCATAAGATATTTATTTCTTTGTCCTGTCTCTTAATTGTGTCTGCTTTTTAAGATTCTTATATGCTAGCTAATATCGCTGCTGTAAGCCTTATTTGCCACATATTATCTGATTTATTTATGCATATCTTACAATTTACAGTTCTGCCTAGTGTGTATAATTGAAATGCTTATGGGCAATGTAAATGTCTTTTGACAGAGCTATGTCTTGAATTTTTGGTTGGTAGGTTTTCTCGAACCTCATAACAAATCAGAAATAAATTCTGGCAGATAGTCTGGCAGTTTTACTGTACCTAGAAAAATACATTCTGTAAGAATCTTCACCCATGCCATTCTATGACTTATTAGATAGAATAAAAACAAGTTTCAGAAACTATAGGAAGAGGTACCCATAGTAAAAATGGCTGCTTCACCCACTAGTTCTCTCCCAATCCAATACATTTTACTTAATACCTTCAGCCCTAGTTCATCACTACGCCTTGACAAACAGTCTCCAGCCTCCAAAATAACTGCTTTTTTGTTAGTAATTTTCAGTAGCCACTGTCGTGACATGTAAAACACTGGACGAGGTATTGATCCAGCCATGCTTGCTGCTAGCAGTGGATTCAGATCCTGAAGGGTTCCTTCAGTTAAACTTTGGGGAGACTCCACATTCATTATTGAGTGCAGGACTCTTGATGCACACAGTATATGTGTGCAATATGGAATGCTTTCCTACTACCCATGTCCACAGAGAAAGGAGCTCTTCAGGAGCTTTGGAACGTGCCAAAATTTTTACTGGATGTAGTCAAGTTCCTGCTGCATCCATGCAGCCTTGCTGACCAGCAGAGCTGGCAGATACAAGAAAATTCTTTCTGCATCTGTCCAAAATGGGTAATGGTGAATGTGTGTTCAGAAATGTTTTTCCATCCTCTTTCTAGGGGTGAGTTGTCTCCATATGGCCTCTCACTGTGGGATGAACCTACTCAGCCCAGTGCAGTCCTGAATTATCATCAAGCAAACATTTGTTATTGGTGCAAGATCATTTACTTGGGTGAAAAATCTTTCCAAAGCATCATGTGTTCTTCTCTCCAACTAGATGGAGAATAAGCTGGATAGGAGCTGGGCAGCAGTTCAAGCAGGCACCAAGACTCTACTTTTGGGTGATAGTTCCTACGTTTAGAAGGCAGTTTGTTAATCATTATTCCTTTCCTCTCTGCATGCAGGTCCTTTTCAAGACACTGAGATATCAAGGCTCAGATTTTCAGAGGTCTTGACTTCAGCAAGAGCTGCACTTCTCTTTACAACAGACTAATTGAAGGGAAAAAAATCCAAACCTGTAGGATGTGGGAGTCAGATCTTACTATGGAAAAAGGAAGAGACATTGATTCCCCCTCTCCATTGGCCACAAAGCCTATTCTGGATAGAGGAATTGAGATGTTGTTGAGCTTTCATTTTAACAGATGTGAGAGCATCAAAAGGTACTTTTTTAAAAATTTTAAGATTATGAAGTGCTTGGGGGAGCAACACCAAAACCTGATGTAACTCTCCTGAAAGTCACTCTGATGCACTGGAAATGCCACATCTCCACTCCTGGAACCCAGGGCAATTTTCTGGGGAAAACAGAATAATTTTCAAACTATTGACTTACCTGTAGGTCTAGGTCAATGTGTCACGATGGTTTTCAGCAAAAGGCTTGCAGTGGTTTTTAAAAACTGACAAATTCTAAAGCTGTTTGTTGCAACTTGCGAGCCAGGAGGGTATGGGACATCAGCTGCCATGGAGGAAAGGTGATGTTAGAGTGAGTGGAAGTAGACTCTGGTTGCAGGACTTCTTTGCTGAGATATGACAGCTATGGCAAAACCATTTACTGCCATCAAGAGGCAGCTATGAGAGAAGAATATGAAATATGCTGTTCCTTATCCAAGAAACATAGTGTTTCCCAATGAACAATTTATTATTTTCACCCTGTCCAGCACTATGGAAAGGTGCATCAGGGATCTGCCTTTCTCTGCTCTGAATAACTTAAGTCAGGCTGCAACACGTGAAATAATTGAGCTGACCAGAATTTACAGCTCTAGGTGGAGTTTCTTCTTTTTGTTGGGTTTGTGAGTCATGACAATGAGAGTTACCACATGAGCATGATGCAAAATGTACAGACTCATTTCTTTTTCACTTTTCTTTTTCATGCTGCTTTATGACTCAGATCAGTTCTAGCATAGTCCAGCTCTCTTAGGCACGAGTTTCTACAATGATTAGGTATCATCTTTAAAAATTAGAGCCACAGACAGATCATGCAAGCCATGCTCTTTCATTTTTCACTCTGATCTTCAGATAGTAAGTCCCGCATGGCTTTCAGTGAGGCCTGTCTTGTTTAATGTGGACTTTGTTGGGCTGTAATTTATTTTACTTAATTATTTATGGCTACATTATGTATATTAGCTGCACTTGTCTAAATAACAAGGGTTGCAATGGAAGACTGCCTGTTCAGCTGATTAATTCCTGTTACTTTCTGCATTTCTTAAGGTGATTTTTGTGATGAGTTTAGATTGATGTTTATTGTTCCTGGGCTTGTGTCTAGGAGGAATACTCTGGGACAACAGGAAGAGTAGACACAGACAGAACTTAAATAAATGGACACATAATATTGGATCAGTTTTGCACTTGAAGATGATTTCAGAAGACTAGAGAAGTGTTTGAGAACTCAATGAATAAAAGATCACTCTAAACTAATTTTTTTTTAGTTAAAACTGTACTTAAATCAATAACATTTTATTTCTTACGGTCATAAATTTGAGAGTCTTGCAATTTTTTTTATTCTATTTTTCATTCATGAAAATAAGACAGTGAGTAAATGCAAACTTACCCAGAAAAACCAAATAGATTGGAAGATGGGTTTCTTGTCTGACAGATTCTTTTGTCTGCTTTTTGCTGCTTGCTAACAGCTCGCAGCCATAGCAGGCAGCTAGCAGACCAAGTGCAGATTAACCATTGCAATATTTATTGATAGGAAAATACCCTGAGCACACTTTTAATGTGGGTTCCTTGGACATAAGGGCATCAATGGCTCTATAAAATGTAAATACATTCTTAATTACCTCAAGTGCCCCTCCTGCCCAAGTGGCTCTTTCAGTGAAACACATCTCACTGGTAATGAGCACAAATATTGCTAATGGACTATTCAAGGGCACATTATATAATCTTTTTTTCTTGGATGCTATGCTGGTAGTATGTAGGGTTTGCTTCTTGTTCAGTTTAGGAAAGTTCTCCTGGGGGTGGTTTCTATAGTATGGGAGCTCTTCCTAAATTAAGACCACCACAGTCTTATTCTGACTGTCCCTGTTATTTTTTTGCAGTCTGTTTTGGGCTCTCAATGTCAGTAAGAAGAGACAAATGCACTTTGAAATGTGTTATAGCTTTGGGATTTTTTTCCCAAAGGAAATATTTCCCCAGAAATTCCTTTCATTTTCCCGCTCCCCCTTTCTGTTTCAGGAACAAGCTCCACTCCTGCTTTTTAGCCTCTCTTAGAATTATCATCTTGCACTACTCCATGGTCTGAGTCATTAATTCAATTCTCTCACTTTAAGGTGGATGTTACATCCTGAAAACTTCTAGTAGGAGAAGCCCAAGCTCTGAGGGAGGAAACTTCTGGATTTGGAACAGCACCTGAATGAGGCCCAATGGTGAGGATATTAGCATGAAAGGAGTTGTAAGGTATGAGAACTGGAGTTGCAAATTTTTTTTTCAGAACAATGGGAGGCTGCTTAGAGGCTGAAGAGTGAAAGGGGTATAATTTAATGGGCAGAGAAAAGGGCCACAGTGCCTTTTTTGAGAGTTGTAGTTGGAGAGAAATTGGTAAAAAGAAATTACCCCACACTGGTGCACATTGACTTAGAAACTGTGTACTGACATTTGAGAGTTGTGCGTGGCTTTCTTGAAAACCTGCATGAGGGCAGATGATAAAAAGCTCTGAAACCTGCTGTTTCTTGAGAGGCTGAGTTTCAGGCCTGGCTCTGCTGCATTGCTGCCTGGAAAAAATAAGCTGTATGATTTTAAGTCTTGTTGCCTTAGTCTAAAGAAAGCATGGATAAGTCTAGGCTTGGAATGGGAAGGGTGCATCTGAGATATCAAGGGCAAGCAGTTAATATATTTAAGGTGAAGTTTCAGTTCTTTGAGAGGGATTTTACGATGCAATTCACTCACCTAGAAAGGTCTTTATAGCTTTCTATATATTTGTAAAATAGGCCTACGGCTACTACCAGGAATTGTGAGAAGATGCACTCACTGGCTGTGAAAACCACAAATGGTGCAACTGCAAGTAGCATGGAAATGTCCATGTGGAAGGGAAAAATCGTCATGCTGCTACCAAGAGTTTGAGAGGAGCTGAAGATGTGAGGGTGTCTGAGCCTCATTCACTACTGCTGACATACCTTAAATGTCCTCTGTACTTTGTGCTCTATGAGAAGGATGCAGCTTTTGATAAAACAGTGCCTGTTTCTCCATTTAAATTCCTTGTTCAAAAATCAAAGGACTGTCTGGAAAGTGGGCAGAGCAGGAGGGAGAAATGAATGTATCACAGAGTAATTTGGTGAAGACTTTCTAAGCAGCTCTTCTGATGCTTTCTCTGATCCTCAAGAAGCAGATTATCATGGGAGAAATCACTTTATTCTATCATAGTCTTACAATGACCCTTTTAATAGAGAGGATTATGTCACTCTGTAGGCTATGTTAGCCTAGACAGTGACCTTGGGCTCCCCTGTTACGGTTTCTTTTGTCTGTGGCAGAGATGCTCTGGTTTGAAGTTGCGCAGTGTTTCTCCTGGGGTTTCTTGGGTGTGACAGCAGGTCACACTGCTGCAGCCATGGCACTAAATGTGGATAGATGACTGTGAGAGTAGAAAAGATTCAAGGCAAAGAAAAAAGATCTGAGGAGAGAAAAACAGAGCAAAAACTGTGGCAGAAAGGCAACTGATCTAGAGAACTTGCTTAGTCCTTTGGTGGAGACTGCATCCGGTGCTGGAGAACACAGTGTTTCAGAGAAGAAGTAGATTTACTCTTTCTGCTCCTGTGCTATAATAAGATATGTATCTCATTTACTCTTCCCTCTTCTTCCCCTCTCTGCAGATATATAGACTTGGTAGTAGGAAGTTCATCATGCTGCACAAAATTAGCACATCTGTAATTTATATGCCTTTTAAATTCTAGTTACTTTTCATAATAGAAGAGCTGAGGTTCCCAGCAAATCATTTATGGTACCAGAAAGCTGTGGGAGAAGATTGCTTACTTCCTAATTCAGTGTGACCCAAAGAAGTGAGAGAAATAACTCAGGGCTAAGTTGTTTCCTCTGGAGTGTTTTATACTGGAGTGGCCCACAGCAATAAGTGCTTAAGTGGCATAAGGGAATAGAGGAAGAGTATATAACCAGAGATGATATCTTTTCTAATAGCATTTTTAAGAATTAAAGAATATGACTTAGAAAATAGGATAACTGAAGCACAATGAGCTAGAAAAGGAGCTTTTTCATTAGGGGACAGACTAATGAAAGACGAGAGTTCTCAGACATGAGTTTGACTTTTTTCCTCAAACTTGTTTGGGGGAGATTCACCAACCTCTTCTGTGCTTTCTGTAAGCTCAGAAACAGTCCTCTTGTCATATTTAATGTGGCTATGTAGTACTCTGAGTTGTTTAGGTTTTTTAAATAAGATAGTATAGGATGTAATGAACATCTAGCAAAACCATATGGGGCAATTATCTCCCCTTGGATTATGAATCTTGAGAAAGCATAAAGCAGTTCTTCAAGGCTCTGTGTATCTGGAAGTATCATGTAAAATACCTGGAGGAACATTTGTGTTGTTACACAAATTCATTTTCCTAAACATAGTGAAATTTCTATAACAATTTTGGAAATGTGCATTAGCACGTAGAATCATTGTTGTAGGAACACTTGATCTGTTGATTTCACTTCCATGGTGGACTCTTTACAGTCTGTATCATTTCCACTCCACTTCACTGATGGTGGAAAAGCTTTTTTCATGGTTTATTTAGCAGAAAGTCATTTTGATTAGCAAGATGAGTAATACTTTACAGCTGTTTGCAATTACTGCATCTGTTCTATCAGTGGATTCAAATATTGGAGGCTATATTGACAGAAATGTGAAATGCAGTAGAAATGGGTACAAGAGGGGACACACAGACATGCATGCACACTTCATGGGTTCAGTCATGTTAAGAGAAATCAAACAGCATGTTAGTCTCAAATCTGTGCCACAAACTAAAGAGCTGGATTTAATAAATTTGAAAAGCAGAATTTCCTGTTTGCAGGTGTAGATGTTTAGTCGAGGTTTTGTCAAAAGCAGTGTGGGCAGCAGGTCAAGGGATGAGATTCTGTCCCTCTGCTCTGCTCTGGTGAGAGCCCACCTGGAGTACTACATCCAGGTCTGGGGCCCCCCTCACGGGAAGGACATCAACCTATCAGAGCAACT